GGGGGGGGGGGGGGGGTTACCAGCCAGATCTGACTCCAGCCTGTTAGAGATGCAGACTCCCACAAACGCTACAAAAGAAGTTACAGCTGTATGGAGAAGGGGGATCCACTAGTAAATCTAATATAGACTGAAAATTATCAAACAATTGAGTGCCAGCACTCTCCCCCTGACAAGTAAAATTGTCTGGCATTGCACAGGGTAAGATAACAAAGTAGGGCACAATGCAATGCCACTTAATCACTAATGGTTAAATTAAAATGCTGAATTTTTTTAGAGTGCCAGAGTTGCAAGGTGGGTAATTGTGCACATGAAAAAGTAGGTTGTGCACATGCATCCAAAAATAAATACTGCTACAAAAAGCTGGCAAACTAGCAGTTAAAACCAACCAAAAATTTAGAATAACATAAAACCAAACATATTCCGAAAAAGGATTTTGAACACAAGATATCTGATTAATAATATGAGAATAAGCTAGAACAACTTGCTTGCAAAACTACAAAAGTATAAATTACAAAACTGCTGTAATCTTATATAAATTAACTAGCAATATTACAATCTTGTTCCCCCAAGGCTGCGATCCTTGGGAAGGAACATGAGGCTCTGGGATAATCTGTTGCCAGAAACCAGGAATCCTGGCTAAGATCGAACTGTGCATTACTGTGCATTCCATATCAACAGCCAATCAGATTGCCCCCTGAAACGGATTATCCCAGAGCCTTCCAGAGCCTGACACATTCCTTCCAAAGGATCGCAGGCTCGGGGAACAAGATTGGCAATATTATACATTTGCTGTTAATAGCCTGTGTTTCTGAAATAATGAATCTATGCTAGCTTTTCCATCAAAATGGCAAGGTTGGCAAGCAGCCCATTAAGCTTAATGGCAAGCTAGAATTTAAAAGAAAGTAAAAAAATTAAAACTTTCATGAATCTTACATGAAAGAAGAAATATAATTCCTTTTGAGTGAATTGTGTGATAAGCAAGCAGAGCAAAAACTTAAAACTAACACACTTTCTCCTTGACTGCAAAAAATATCAAGATTTTCAGTCAATTGAAAACACAAACAAGTAAACAACTGATCAAAATTTGTGCAAAAACCAGGGGGGTCAAAAATTTTATTTCAAACGTACGATCGCAGTTGGTCAGTGGTAATTGCCATAAGCCGGAGAAACCAACTGGCGTCAGCAAACATGAAAATCCACCATGTTTTTTCGGACACTCATTTGACTGACAGAAAGATAGGAGCACTTCTTCCAGTAATATTATAGCTCAGTCATTGATATATCCTGCACACGCACGTCACATGGGAAAATAGCTAGCAAACATGCCAGAAAAAAGTTAATTTATAGGAGCAATTTGAAGCACAACTTGCGACCAAAAGAACTCATCAAAAACCACAAATAATACCAATTAAAACCCAGATATTTGGAATACAATGCCATTTTCATGTGTGCCTTGCAAGCATATCAAATTTTTGCCATGTGCTTTAGACATCAATGACCTACTTGTGGAAATTGGGAAAACTTGAAATTGTGTGAATTAAACACTCCGCCCTTTGGGTGTTGTGTTTCCACACAATTTCTCGTTTTCCCAATTTCCACTCGTGTTGATATAAGGCGTAAAAAAAAAACCTGTGGTTCCGGTTTCATATTGTGAAAAAATTAGGGTCGGTAGGTCTTTTAAATATTTTTTTTCATGGTTTTGGCGGTTTTTTGCTGGGCGATTTGCAGTAGAGTCCCAACATCAATGTTAACTAGAGATGCGTATTTCCTATGGACGAATTTAGGCAATTTGGTTCAATAATTAGTGTGACAACAGACGCCATTTTGGCACGCTGTATGAGCAGCCCGCAACCACCTGGAGAAAACAGGGTCGCACGGTCAATCACGTTGAAAAAATAATAGGGTCGGCAGAAAAAAATAGGGTCGGTCGGGAACTGGAACCACAGGTATTTTTTTTTACGCCTAACTGTATATCAACACAAAAAAGTTTTATATTTGTTAAATATAAACTGGTCATAGTGTCTTATTTGATGGGTATTGTAAATGGAAATTGTCCAGGTGAAATTTATATACATTTATTAGACCTTAGACCAGGAACAGAAGCAAAAAATGCAACTTTAAGTCCCAGGCAGGAATTAAACCTGCGGCTGCAAGTTCAATTCCTGCCAGGGACCGAAAGTTGCATTTTTCGCAGGGCCGCAGAATCAGCCAGGGTCTAACAAATTCAATTCCTGGTTAGGTCTAATAAATGTATAAAAATTTCCATTCGACAATTTCCATTTACAAATATACCATCAAATATTATTCATTCAAGTGAGATGCCACAAAAGTCCCAATATTTACCCATAACCTATACATGGCAGCACCAGTGAGTAGTACATATACACAAGCTTGTGGTTTAATAGAGTTCAACAACTGGCCTCTATAGCTCAGTTGGTTGGAGCACTGCACCGGAATTGCAGGGTCGCAGGTTCAATTTCTACCTAAGACCTCAGGGCCGCAGCAACCGGTGGGGCTGGGCGGGCTGCAGCCTCTCCCC